AAAGTTTTTAACTAAGTTAGTTTTAAGCATGCAGGGTGTGTCAAAAAAGTGTAGAAGTGCGAAGTTATATTCTTTTAAATGGAACACCCTGTATGCTGTGCGCTTATTTGTTAGTCCCCTTCAACCTGATTTCAACGATATAGGGTTTGATATGTCTTTCTTCAATACTTATAGGTAAACTCATGAAAACCCCTTTCAAGGTCTCATGTTGAAGAAAGAAAAATTATACCATTCAAGCTTTAACTTTAGAGATAATTGTTTATAAACAGTTTATAGTTCAAATGTTATTCAATAATTTGCAAGGTTAAATAATATAATATTCCAGATGATTCAAGTTATTATTATTATTTTTAAAAAAATACCATGAGACCTAGGAAAGGATTCTCGCATTTTTCCTAATAACTCTTGAAGATAAATCAAAAGATAAACATGTCAAACCGTATATCGTTGAAATCAGGTTGACGACCGTTGACGGGGACTAATAAATAAGCGCACAATATACATGATCTTCCATTTTAAAAAAATAAAACTTTGCTCTGCTACACTCTTTTGGCGCACCCTGTATGCTTAAAACTGGCTTAGTTGAAAACTTTTGACAAATTCTTAAAAATTTTATATTTGACACTTCTGTCAAAAACGTCAAATAAAAAAGTAAGAAGAGGGTGACATTTATAATAGATCACACTGTACATTTTGAAGTATATTTCAGGGGTGATTTGACGACAATAATGAACTATTCGTTGTTGCAGGTCTTCCAAAGATATTGGCTGGTTCGCATAAATTTTAGTTTTTAAATGGCCTTTTGAAAAAAAGTCTAACGGGCTTGAATCTGGACAACGTGGAGGGCCACTCAATAGCTCCTCTCCTTCGAATCCATTGTCCTGGAAACGTTTGGTCCAAATATTGACGAACCACTGCAGCATAGTGGGGTCGCGCACCGTCTTGTTTTCTTATAAGACGGTCTCCATGTATCCATTATCATTCTCTAGTATTTCTACTAATACTGGATGAATCCGAGGATGAATCGCATCTTCTGATGATTTTAGGTACCTACATTCTTCCTGATGGAGCTACAGAAGTGGCTATTTTAGGTCATGTTTTTCAACTTTCAAGATCTCAAACTGAGTACGAGGAAGTTGTGGACCGTGTCTGGTGTCAAAAGAAGCATCATTCAGGTGATATTGAAAAAAAGCAAACTCTTCCTGGAAAATCGTATATTTGGGCTGGCATTTTTGACCCCCCTTTTTTAGCTGGAAATTCAACAGGACAAATGCACCTAGAATTATAAGATGCGATTTATCCAGAATTGGTGGAAATACTAGAGAATGATAACGGATACATGGAATACCGTCTAATGCTCCAACAAAATGGTGCGCCACTCTATGCTGCAGTGGTTTGTCAATATTTGGACCAAACGTTTCCAGGACAATGAATTCGAAGGAGAAGAGCTATTGAGTGGTCCCTACGTTCTCCAGATTCAAGACCGTTAGATTTTTTCTCAACTTAAATTTATGCGCACTGATATGCGTGCGGTAAAAGTTTTACCGCACCGTGCGGAAAAAATCATTTTCCGCACGCATATCAGTGCGGAAAATCGATTTTTCCGCACGGCTGTAAGAAATAGCTATTTACCTAACAAGTGCGGAAAATGAATTTTTCCGCACGCGGCTGCCGTTTACCGAACGACGCGTAGCGGAGTTCGGTGAAGCAGCCGAGTGCGGAAACATATTTTCCGCAAGTGTTAGGTACAATATTTTTCCTACAGGCGTAAAAATATAGAATTTTTTTTTTTTTTTTGACAGCCGTGCGGTAAAATTTTTGCCGCACTGCCAGCCGTGCGGAAAAACTTTTTCCGCACTGATATGCGTGCGGTAAAAGTTTTAACGCACCGTGCGGGAAAACTCATTTTCCGCACGCATATCAGTGCGGAAAATTAATTTTTCCGCACGGCTGTAGGAAAAAAATATTTCTGAGATAGGGCCTGTTTAGAGGAGTCATTTTTTTTTTGTCTGGCATTTTGAGGAATGAATGTGACTAGTTAGCTGATGAGAATATAAGTGGTTTTAATGCCTGCCTGCCAAAATGTCCACAGAATGTTTCGCCGGAAAACTCGATTTCGAACTGTGTTTACCGTCTGGCGATTTTTCAGCGTTATTTTCACAACAAAATCTTTCATTTTCTCGATTGCCAGACAAAAAGTAAACACGGAAGCTTCTTTTCTTTTCTCTTGGAAGTTGACACCCATCCCCATTTTTTCAGCTATTGAAAAGCATCTGATATTTTTCATAGGTGAATTATTTATGAATGTCAATCTTTTATTTAAAAGCTAGAAAATTTGAGATAATAAAAAAATTCTTCATGTAAATCAATTTTTTTCTTCTGCAAATTTTCGAACGGGAGGCCGGCATTAAAATCACCCATATTCTCATCAGCTTAGTAGCCACATTCAGCCCTCAAAATGCCAGACAAAAAAAAATGACTCCACTAAACAGCCCCTATCTCACAGTCTATAAGTGCGGTAGTAAGGAATTAGATTCAACCTGTAACTATCCTTTGCAGATAATCCGAAAATGTTTTTAATGCACTCCTCATTATTGCAATTCAATAACAAAATTGATGTTTATTTATTTATTTATTTGGCCTGTTTCTGGTGGAGGGGGTGGTAAGAGGCCGCAAGAGGAATAAGATAGATGGGAGTAATCACTCCTTCTCCTGTAGGATACAAGGATACAAGGTGAAAATTTGAAAAGTAGCAATCGAGAATTTATCTTAGACAAAAAATACTATCAGGAAAATCTCATATGAGTATCGGAGGACTGAAGCGGGCATTTTTTGATTCACTCATCATAACTTATTTTCTTTAAATACGAATCTATACCTTGTGTTGCACATCGTACGATAGCTCGTTGCTTTCCCTTCACAGTCTTATAGCAAAATCTTAAATTGTACGATTAGTTTTTGAGAAATCGGTATTTAAAAGTAAGGATGTTCTGAGAACTAGTAATCTTGACTATCTCTTAGACAAAAGAATTCTGTCATAAAAGTCTCAAATACCCTGTGCCTAACCCCCACCCCTCTTGTCTTGCGGGCTAGCCGCTTCTAATAATTTTTCTAAAATGAGAACCTACCCTGTGTGATTCCCTCTTTGAAAGTTATTTTATTCCTGTTTGGAGGCATGCAGAAGCAGATAGAATTACGATAAACACATTATTTTGTTTCTTCGATGTGTTTTCGAGACTTTTATGACAGAATTATTTTGTCTAACAAATAGTCCAAATTATTAGCATTCAGAAGTCAGAACATCCTTACTTTTAAACACCGATATCTCTAAAACTAATTGTACGATTTCAGATTTTGCTGCAAGACTGTAGAGGGATAGCAACGAGCTATTTTTTGTCTAAGAGATATTCCCGATTGCTACTTTTTAAATTGTCACCCCGTAATGAGCAGCTTTGTGTCAGCAAGGCCTCCATCTTTGATGACGCCATATTTGGAAAATGTACCAGGTGGTGGAGGTTCACCTAAGCCCAAAATACTTACTAACATACTTACTGAACATTCCCGATAAAAAAAAAATTCTCCTTACGCAAACTTTCCTACAGGACTACAGTCAGGTGCGGGATTATAAAAAAAATGCAAAAAAATGTAAAGACAATTTTTTGAGTCCATATTTGGTATGGAGTGAGTCGAAAAAGGTCTAAAGTTACTGTCAACCTATTTACGTTTCAGCAAAGACAATACTGTTCTCCCAGAAATCACAAACCTATCTGAGCGAATTTCATTGGTTGAAAACAGTCAGAAAACTGGTTGTTCTGACTGGTTTGCGATTTCTGTCAGAACAGACCCTACATGTACAGGGTGTTCAAATTATCCTCGAAATATGACATATTTCAAACTAATTTTTCTCACTTTTTTCAAATGGAACCATCTATACAGGGTGTCCCACGGTGGATGGCGTATTAGACGTTTATGGAGAACTAAAAAGCGGATTACTTTGAAAATTTGGCAACCGGGATAAACGACCATAATCTACACTTTAAAAATATTTTTGTTTATGCGGTGTTGCCGCGTCTACTCTTAACCAGTGGCAACATTGCTATTTTAAACGGAACACCCTGTATGTAAATATTCAAACATCATTTTGTTGTAAACACATATTTAACCTGTTTCAGGAGTAATTGTAGCATTAAAGGCTTCTTTTATTTTTTACCGTATGTTTTCTGGGTTGGGAAGTATTCCGTAGACCAGGTCGTTTCCTACGTATCCCCATAGAAAATTATCTGGTTTGGTAAGATCTAGTGCCCTTGCAGGCCAGGGAACAGGTCTTTGTCTTCCAATCCAGCGGCCTGGGAATTATTTATCCATTATGTCGATCTTCAGTACTCTCTCTCATTTAAAAATATCTCCATTGACGTTTCCACAGAAAAAGGGGGCCTTTTATGCGGTCTCCTATTACGCCTCCCCAGACGTGTACGCTCCACCTGTGTTGTCGGTCTACTGATATTCTCATCCGGCGTAAAAATGTCAATTATGCACATGACCATTATTATGGAAAGTCCCCATCGATACACAATACAATATTTAAAAAGCGTACAACTTCTCGAATTCGAGCAAGACTCCAATAACAGAAATTTGACCTATGTGCAACAAATTACTTACGTCTGCTGTATTTTTATGTGGGACTCCAACAACAGTTGCAATAAGGTTAAATTGATTCTTTTCATTTACTACGGACCTTATTCTTTCATGCTCATTTTCGTACTTAACTGTTCCAGTCCTGTCATTATTAGCCATTTCAAAAATTAAGTCTGGAAATTAGGCATACTGATGAAAAATATTGTTGTTTAGGGAGCGCCAGATAGTTCTTACAAAATTAATTAGTACATATTTATAGAAAATTGTCAACTTTCAAATCAAATCAAAACAGTCGTTATATCAACAACGACTTTCTCAGAACCATTCTTAAATTTATTCACTCAACCATGTTTTCTTTTTTCCAGGTTTGGTTCCAAAACGCTCGCGCCAAATGGCGACGCATGATGCTCAAACAAGAAGGTAAATCAGTAGGCGAAAAATGCTCGGGCTCCGAAAGCATGAGCGACATGGATATCTATGGTGGTCCAGGTGGGCCCGCTTCGATGGGCAGCAGCATCGGTATGGCACCTCACAGTCCGTCGTTCATGCTACCTGGTGGGCCTGGTAGCCCTTCGAGTTTGGATTGTTCCTGAGACGTGGTACGATGGTGGTTCGAGTTGTTTACGGTGAATGGATAAGTGAAAAGTTTTTCGTGGTTGTGAACTCACTATAAACAAGTTGTTTTGTGCTTTAATTTATTTGAAATGTACTTCCCCGCCGCGAACCATAACAATAAGCGTTTTCCTATTGAAATTTCTGAAAACGAGTTCCTATTAATGTAAGTTTTTGTTCTCATTTATCCCATTAAAAATAAATTTGTGTAAGTAAATAGCATTGAAAACTTGAGGTAAATGGTATACTTATGCATATAAACAAAATATTTGGGCAAATTAAAGCCAACATCTAGTATCTCTCTAAAGGGCCTTTATGTCGTGTCCTTTAAAAATATTTTTTTTAACGTACATATGTAGTTAAATATTAACCCCTCAAAGACTTTGAACATTAATTTGTCTTCCCATTAAAGGCCAAAACTATAAATTATTCTTGGTTTGTCAAAATCTATTCGGATTCTAAAAAAAATCTTGTGGTATAACAAACTATTGTAAATATAATGATAGGGGGTTTTCATTCGGGCTTAATGGCCGTCGTAAGTTGGAATTTCTTCCTTACTTTCCAACTTACGACGGCCATTAAGCCAGAATGAAAACCCCTTATCATTAAGCCTGGGCCGCGAAAGCCTCACAAACTTTATTGTAAATATAATTCGTATTAAGTAATTAACGGTATGGTTTTCCTTCCCGAATGAAAAAATTGCATATTTTCTCGTGTGTAAATGTTAAATTTATGTCAAATGCTACCTCATAAAGCATAAAATGTAAAAAGTGTGGTAGCATATTCCTAAAAGCAATAGACGTTAATACAAAAACCTAACTTTGTGTCTCATTTACAATCACATCCCTCTTTCAGCTGAATATAATTTTTAAGTTACCATGTAACGACATAGCTAATCAAGCCGAGTATAACCAGGCAAATCCCACAATCAACCGTTCAACTCATTTTCTACCCATTGTTACATCAGGGTCATAATAAATCAAATAAAAGACTCGACGATATTTATCAATTTAACACAGTCCCTTAACAACACAAAACGACATAATTGATACATCTTGACTCGCCCCAAACAAGCAACATTATGCCCCAGACGATGCTGGTGCAGTTGCGCCCCATAATCTGGCTTACCTCAAAAGGCAACCCCTTTTAATTCGCCCGAATCCATGACAACCCCGCCGGTTTTATATTGAGTTATGAGGGTCATTTTTCAAATTGATGGTGCCCACGTCTATAGTTTAACTGCGCTTTTGGATTAATGTACTTATTATTTTTAATGAAGCGAAAGAGCTGTCCAAAGAGTTTAAGTACGATTTTTCAATGGTATGGGGATGAAGTTTTAGATTCAAGATCTTAAACTAACAGAGTTGTTTTATCGTTGTCGACGTTTTAAACTAATGTTATTTGTGTGAAATCTAATTTGCTTCTCTTGAATTAATTTCAATTTCAATATCGTAGTTAGAGCAATTTACTATGGTAACTGATGAACAAACTTCGTTTTCAGTAATTTTTTGACTTTTATTTTCACTTTTCCTCAGGCTGGTAGCTACTTTTTGCACGAACGTGAAAATTTTAATTAACATCACCAATGCTGTTTTTATGAACAGTGTTTCAACATTTATAAAATAATATACATTTTTCATCAGGCAGTCACACTAATATTTCACTCACAACCCGATGGAATGAAAGTCAATACATCCCTTTACCTAGCCTATTTGCTTTATTCCAATCACTCCAGTATTTTGTTGCCCTTTACAAGGTTATACAGATCTTCTACTGGGTGGTGTTTCATTATCCTTTCCAGGACTACGTTTCGTTGCCCAGAAATGCTGTGTCTTCTGCGATCCAGTGCTTTGCAGTTTAGTTTACCAGGATGTGTCTGGCTGTCTCGGGTTTCTTATTGCAGAGTCTGTAGTTAAAGTCTTCGTCATACAGGTTCATCCGGTTCAGGTGACTTTTACTGGTATCTGGCCTCTGATACGACCCGTTATAGTCCTTAGTCGATTCCTTCTCATTTGTAGCAGTTCTGTGGCCCTTTTCATCCATGGTTGGTCGATGAACATCCTACCATAATTCTCTTATGTAGCTTCTGGTCATACTTTTTGGTAAAGACGGCTCTGGCCCGATAAGTTTTGTCTCTGATTCTCTCTTTGCGAGTTCGTCAGCTTTTTCGTTACCTTCGAAGCCTGTGTTTCCTGGTACCAAGATGAGTTTTACTCTATTTTAAACTGCCTGAAAAACAAAGGCATGTTCCCCCAGTGCGTCATGATTGCTGTAGCTGGCGGAGTATATCTCTGCTCCGGTAATAGCCGCAGTCTCCGACCCGTCCTTGTACCAGGTCCGGTCTCGCTTTTTGGTCTCCGGTATGCCCTGTTCCATGTCTGTTTCCATTCAGTTTTGCTTGGGAAGTTGACGTCGAACGGTCTGTCAAAGCAGTGTCGCCTTGGCATGTGGTCCGTCTTCATTTTGAGAATATCTCCCCCACAAGTTCTGCGATTACCATGTGTGCCCGTCTTTTTGTTGTAGGCGGTTGTCGGTTGCAGTCTGTACGCTCTCATCCTTGCCTCCCCCTCTATCACAATGTGCAGAGATGGGAGGTCTAAAAGGATCTCCATAGTTGGTGTTGGTGTGGAAAGCATTGCTCCTGTTATTCCTGAGCAGACTAGCTTTTGCACTTTGCTAAGTTGGGCATGGCACTTCCCTGTTGTGTTTTTGACCACCACACCAGGAAGGCGTATGTCGAGATAGGTTTCACTATCATGCTGTATGTCCAATACAGTTTGTTCGGTCCAAGTCCCATAATTTTCCATGCAGGCGTCTACTATCATGAGCGATGCTATCGCTTTTTTGGTGGTATTTTCCAGATGCTGATTCCAGGTAGGTTTTGAGTCCAGTGTTAGGTGGTTCCAGGTCTTGTATCTTGCGCCTTCGGGTAAATGCCACCATGGTGGATTTGTTGCGACTGATATTTAACTATCGACTATCTACGCATCTTGTTGTCCGGTCTAATGAAGCATCTTGTATTCGCTCCCTAACTGTAAAGTTGAATTTGGTACGGTGTCTTTCGTCCGTGAGCACCTTAAGCAGACCGTCCATCACTAGATTTCACAGGAGCGGGGATGATACTCCACCCTGTGGGCATCCCCTGGTACACTCGAATCGCCTGTGTCTTCTCTGCGACGGTGGTTTCTACCATCCTTTCTGTTAAGCCAATTAACATATTAATTGTAAGATTTGTAGTTATAGTGGCAACTATGCGTAGAGGGCAGTAAATTGTAAGTATGGGCAACATCGCCTAATTGCTTATGTGCTCCGCCAAGCTGTTGGCTAGAGCCAGCCCTTTTCTTTGATTATTATATTGATGGTCAAGCGTCACACGTCACCGCGTCACGTTCACGTGAGGCGCAATATTTTTCATGTTGACCATTCTCGATTTTTGATTTATTTAATAAAGTTCTTGAAATTTAAATAGTTGCTTAATTGAAATACAGGCAGTGAGCCAGCCACGGCAAAATATGTGCATCCAGAAGATCGAATAATGGGCATGTATTCAATACTTTCTCTTAGCATAGAATTGATCCACACACAGCAGGTGTTCTCAACCCCTTTATGCTTGAGAAATCTAGTTATTGAGTCGGAGGAAGTGTTGTCAAAAGCTCCCTCTATGTCTAAGAACGAGCCCAGTATCACCTCCGTGTTTTTTAATGAGGTCTCCACCAGCTGGTGAAGCGATATTTCTGTTGACATCCCTGTCCGACCCAGACCAGTATGCATATGATATGGGTATTCTTTCTACAAGCTCAAATGACGTAAGACGAAGGGGTCTTAGGAACTTCACCGTGTCATATCCTATTTTCCCAGGCTTTGGTATGATAACCAAATGTGCCTCCAAGTCTTTGGTATATAGCTAAAGGCTGGGCTGCTTCTTAGAATGTTGCAGAGTACCTATCATGTGTGCTAGTTCACAGTTCTATAATATTATGGGATAGATCACATCAGTCCCTGGTTGACTTGTACGGGTCAACGATATTTATAGCCCATTCGACTTTCTCATTGATAGTTGACTACTTTCTTCGAGGTCAGCCAGTCGTTCCTAGGCTCATTCAATATCCACTGAGTCTGATCAACTATCTTTGAGCGTTTGAGCCGGGAAAGTGGGTTCCTAGGCGTTCTCTAGCCGTTTCTTCCCCGGTACTTGGTGTCACCAAGGCCGTTCTTGAGTGAACTGATTGCTGTCTTCGGGTCCCTTGAGACATCTACTGAACCCAACAGAAATCTGAATCTTATTCTAGATCCAGCTCTTTCATACATTGAAGTACGACAAATATTTATAGACAATTAACTTAATTTTTGTGGAAATTTTAGAGGTTACATCAAAATTCAGACACTCTGTCATTAAACCTTCTACAATAAATTTCACATCTCTGACGAAGATCAAGACACGCTTCTGTAGATGCTTTATTAGTTCTACATCAAATTTAAGGGTAACAGCTTCTACAGTAATCTAGTCACTATAGTCTTTATGGCGGCTACATTGCTTTTATAATAATTCTCTAGTGTCGCTACTTCTTTTCTCAACTCAGGTACTGCGCACGCATCTTCAATTGGCAAGCGAATAGGTATTTTCAGAGTAAATATTTCTAATTCTTACTAAAGAATGTGACAAAATAGTCTGACAACAAATTAATAAATAAATATAATAACAAAATATATGATGCAGTAAAGCTAACCCAATAGTAGATACCTAATTCATGCCATATTTCACTTACCATTCGATATTGGAATTGTGTTGGCTAAATTTTCCTCCTGAACTAGTGAACTGATTCTTGACTTGGGAAGCAGCGCTTCTCGATAGAACGCATACTTTCCGCGTTCACTCCTATATTACAAAATGGTAGAAAGAAAATTTTGGTCCATCGGCGATCGCTACTCCCCATGTCAAGGATTAGGCTCCTGGAGCAAAAAAAAGTTGGTTTTTGGTAAAGAGTCTATGCCGCGTTTCTTCAGTAAAAAGAAGATAGGTATTTGAGATTGCAGACCAATTTCGGAAAAAGTTGATACACGGAAATCTTCTCCTCTGAGAGTCTGGTTTATTTAAATTATACCGTAGTTCATCATGGTCATGGACAGTAAAGTCAGATTCTTTTTTAGCTCTCACCAATTACAATTTCAAAAGTATATCATTAAAAATTAAGTAAGGCTATTCATAAAACCAAATAAAAGTCGATTAGATTAAAAAATTACAAATATTTTAGAAAAATTTAGGAATTCAAATGAGGCACTAGTGCGTAAAAATTACTTTTACGCACTTAAAAGTCACTTTTACGCATTTAAAAGTTACTTTCACGCACTGAGTGCTTAAAAGTAACTTTTACGCACTCAGTGCTCAAAAGAATGTCGTTTTAAAACTAGAAAGAATATCTAAAAGTTACTATTATGAAACGTGAGTAGAAAAAATTATTTAGTCCACTGTAAATTACTGTGTAAACGAATTGATATTGAAGATGTCGCCATCTACTCGTAAATAAGTCAATCACTTACAGAGAGTTTGAGCACCTGTGATTAAAAAATATTTAATGTATGTCATAAAGCCCAAAAGATGGCGAGCTGGCTTTTATCTGACGCCCCTCTTAAAGTACACGGGGCAATTTGAGTTACAAAATACATACGCACTTTTTCTTTTTTGCCCTTTATATCCTTCGCTATTCCGAGTTCAAAGAAGTTGATGACAAACTATTTGTAGGCACTTGATTGCGCAAGTTTTTCCTGAATTGGTTCATCCTGTGTCTTCAATGGTTTCAACAA